CAAGCAGTCAGTGCTGTAAATCCCAGGCTTTTCTGCTCGTGCATGAAGCTGCAGAGACAAGCGTTTCCCATCTCTGGCATTAGTTCTCACACATGGCTGAAGCTGGTGCTGGGAGCAGCTCTTTGGAGGCAGGCAGAGGTGGAAGATGCTGCATGGTCTCTGGGGTTATCAGCACCTCTGTGCATGCAGGGCTGCCACCAAACTGCTCCCTGGGGAGACTGAGGTCCCCTCCTGTTTGCATGTACTTCCCAACACCTTTCCAATACAGATGTGTTGCCCACCGCTCTCTTGCTGATGAAGAAATGGGTGCAGCAGCTACGGGAGGCTGCTGGTGGGAGGGGGAAGGCTGTTGTTGGCTTGCAGGTCACATCTGGTCTGCACAACCAATCCTGCAAGTGTCTCTGGAGAAGGTGTAGTGTTGGTGGGCATGAAGCTCACCAGCTGTGTCCTCTGATGGCTCAGTCAGGCTGAAATGCCAAGTCATGGAGTTTGAACGCACAGGAAGGGATGAGTGCCACAGGAGAGCCTCTGAATCACTGTCTAGTCCCTGCTGCTGTGTGGGTCAGGCTGAGACCTGGAGGAAGGACAAGGCTAGTGCCCCGAGTTTCCCATGTTGGCAAGGTGGGGATACACCTTTGTGCAGCTATTCTCCATTGGGGTCCCCTCTGGGGGTTTTTGTAGCCACAGTGGGGTACTGGCAGCCTTGGCTGTGGCTGCCTGCTGGGTCCCACTTTCCTACAGGAGTTGCTTTGCAGGTTGGTGCTGTCCCACCATGTCCGTCCTGTGTGGTGTTCCCCAAGAGGGACCCTCCTGCCCTCCCGAAAAACTGGTTATTTCCAGGGTAAACAGCTAATTCCCAGGCTGATGTTCTCTGCCTGGAAAATGAGCGTGTGTGTATATATAAGTGTGAGCCAGTAGTAGTTCTCTTCAGTGTAAGCTGTCTGATGGTTTCTGTCTTTTCTCACAAGCTGTCCATTGTTTCTCAGGAGGTTGATGCTTTGTCACTTTGACTGGGGCACTGTTCCACCTCCTACTTGGAACCTGCCCAGGCTGCTCGGAGCTCAGCTCACCCTTGGTCTTCCTCACCTAAAGACCTTGAAGAAGCGTTGTGGTGAACTGTGAGCCTCGTGTGCGCTGGGACTGTGGGAAGGAGGGAGGATCACTCAGAGACTGTTGGGTAGTGAAGCAGATCCCATTGGACTGCTGGGCACCCTCACGGCTCTGGGGATACCAGTTCAGCTCTCCCATTCCCAGCAGGACCCACAGCACGGAGCATGCGCCCTGCCTCAGCCTCTCCAGCGCAAAGTCCGGGCTCTTGGCTCCAGAACAGCCTTCATCAGCAGTTT